CATGTAAGCCTCTAAAAATATGGATTTATGTAGGAAGGGGTATGAGAGCTCGCATTATGTAGTGGCTAATAGGATGAGTCAGGAAGTCCCCAGTCAAAATCATTCACTACTAGGTGGGCTTAGACATCCTCCTCAGCCTTCCATCTGCAAGATGAGAAAAATTGTTTCCAGAGGGGTAGCAGTGCTAATTTCTTACAGGGAAAAATAGGACAAAAGAGTCTTGTGGTACCTTAAGCATTAACAAATCTATTATGGCATAAGGTTTGATGGACTACTGTCGATTTCATCAGAGCCTTAAATAGATATTGTAAGACTCCCTGAAATAATATATGTGAAGCATTCTGAACTCCTGAAATGCACTGTGTGTGTAAAGTCCTATATTGTTTATTTAATGTCAATATACGTTCTCAAATGAACTAGCAGAAGGTCATTGTTCTGTGAACTATTTTTTTTCATGCAGATAGAGATACAAAAAGGTGGTGGTGGGAACCCAAAAAATTGTAAGCCCCAAGCCTCTGTTCTGCCTCTTGGGGCATGGGGCAGGATACTACACGTTCCATGCAAACGCATGGAACAGGTACCTTGAGAGGTGTGCTTTTTATGAAGAAAAGATTGTGAAGCTATGGCTCTGAACTGACACAAGTAACTGTAGGAGAAGGTACTTACCGGTAGCTATTCTCCATTCATAGTTTTACAGCTACAAATCACCACTTCTCCCTTCTCAGATGTAGATTCATCTCTACAAACATGCATCTGGATTTTTGTGGTTGTCGTTGTTGTGATCACCAAGCTCTATGTATTTCAATAACCTATTTAAAAGTGAAACCGAGTATGGCATGGCTATGCTCGTGCTGACAGCATTCCACTGATGAAACCAATGCGAGAGAACCTACCTATCAAGGGGCTCTTTCTCTAGCTTTCAGCTCACCCTGATTAATCCAGTAATTGTATGAACTGATGAGAGGCTGCTGCTTGTTATCTCAAGAATAACACCCAAATTGAACAAATAGCTATATCACACACAACAATCTAGGGCTAGGGCTCTGGGTCTCCTTTTCAAGTCTATTGATGGCAAGGTATTTGCCGTCTGTCTCACAATCCATGAAGCTCCCCCTCCCTCTGCGCTAGCCAGATCTGCTAGTTATCTCTGTAGGAGCACCAGTTCAGCTGTAATGAAGGATGGTTCATTGAGGTGTAAACCTTCATTCACATTCCCTCAGTGTCCCTTTTTATGTCAAGCTTCCTCTCCCCCCCCCCCTCCCAAAAGGGGAGCTTAGTTGAGAGATTCTTAACCACATTTGCATTCCTGAGACAAGCACTTTGGCATTAATTCATCTCAGCACAAGGGTCTCCTTTCGTCTATTTTCCCTTCTTCAAGAGACCCAAAATGAATTCAGCAAGAACAGTTTGCTCTTTCAATGCTGCAGCGCTGCGCCACGTAGGATTACAAGGGATTGGGAAGCTTTCCTTTTCTTTCGCTCACAGTGTTCAGCAGCTCTGCCTTGTTTTGCTATTAAAAATACAGCAAGATAATGTTCTTAGCTCCATTAGCTGCAGTAATGGTCCTGCCACTTCTGTCTGCAAATGCACCCAGCTCCTGGAGAGCACCCAGCCCGAGTGGCTCACCACCCTGCAGGGAAAGTGCTAGATAAAACAGCAACCGATATTCATACAGTGAGCAGAGTTAAAATCCTTGGGAAGATTTAGGCCTGGGTTTTTGATTCACCAATGCTCTCTTTCCATAATCTGTATTCTGATCTCAGCATCGGCAGAGCTGTGATCAGAATAACCAAGGTCTCATCAAAAATTCAGTCCTTATTGACTCCCTTGCATTTGCTGCTGTTTCATGTTGCTCAAAAGCCTCAAAGAAAAGAACCCACGCTTGTTTCACATTGAGGAAATGTAGCTACCCAGAAGGAATTCCTGCCTTCCCATCCTGCGTCTGCCATATTGGGACCGAAGGGACGCAAGGTCAGCTAACCCTCTTCTCAGCTGGAGTGGATTTCATTTAGGTAGGATAGCTAGCTGGCTTTATTCTTATGGATGAGCTGCTGGATGCATCAAGCAAAATCTGAGCGATTATAGGGAGTGTAAGGTCAATAACTCTTCTCCACTGGCCATTCTGAATTTGAAACTTGAATTGCAATTGTGCTATGGGTGCTATCCAATAAACACCCAAATTGAATAAATAAATAATTCCTAGCACAATCACCATTCTTGTCATATGGATAGATAGATGTCTGTATGGCAGTTTGTGCTTGGCACAGCAAAAAGCACTTGGCTGGAAATTGAAGCAGTGGGCGGGGTGGTTTAACCTGGGCAAATGATGAACCAGTGTCCAGAAAAGCCCATGACACAGAGGAATGAGCCAGGTCACAGCACACCTGGAAGTTTTCCTCCATAAATCCCATTGCAAAAACATCCTACTCAGAAAATCCAGAAGATATTCATGAAGTATATGACACTTCTTTATCTGATAAAAGGTAAATTTAAAGGTAAAGGACCCCTGGACAGTTAAGTTCAGTCAAAGGTGACTATGGGGTGTGGCTCTCATCTCACTTTTCAGGCCAAGGGAGCCGGTGTTTGGTCACAGACAGCTTTCCGGGTCATGTGGCCAGCATGACTAAACCGCTTCTGGCACAACAGGACATTGTGATGAGTGCCAGAGTGCATGGAAACACCATTTACCTTCCTGCGGCAGCGGTACCTATTTATCTACTTGGACAGGTGTGCTTTCAAACTGCTAGGTTAGCAGAAGCTGGGACAGAGCAACGGGAGCTCACCCCATCGGAAGGATTCGAACTGCTGACCTTCTGATCGGCAAGCCCAAGAGGCTCAGTGGTTTAGATCACAGCGCCATCCGCATGTATCTCTGATATTCTATACGCAGCTCATATGAATATTCATTACATTTATATTATACTCTTCTTCTGTTGTGGGAACCCAATGCAGGTACATGTTTCCCAGGCACTGAGTAGCCATAGGCCTGTTTAGCTGCAGCAAGACAGTGACCCCTTGCGCTTTCAGACCATACCCTGGGACCCCAATATATTTTATACAACAGTGAGAAAAGACCATTTAACAGCACAGAATTCACAGAGACTCTGGATTATACCAAAAAAGACACACACTGCTCAAGGAAATGAGCAGATTGTCACATCAGTAGTAGGAAACTGGCTGTCACTTGGCCCAGTTTTCACCCCTAGTGAGACAAACACCTCATAGCTGCCTTCTGCTTAAAGGTAAAGGGACCCTTGACCATTACGTCCAGTCATAACCGACTCTGGGGTTGCGGCGCTCATCTCACTTTATTGACCGAGGGAGCCGGCGTACAGTTTCCGGGTCATGTGGCCAGCATGACTAAGCCGCTTCTGGCGAACCAGAGCAGCACACGGAAACGCAGTTTACCTTCCTGCCGGAGCGGTACCTATTTATCTACTTGCACTTTGATGTGCTTTCAAACTGCTAGGTTTGCAGGAGCAGGGACCGAGCAACGGGAGCTCACCCCATTGCGGGGATTCGAACCGCCGACCTTCTGATTGGCAAGTCCTAGACTCTTTGGTTTAGCCCACAGCACCACACATGTCCCCACGCCTTCTGCTTACCCCCCAAAAAAACCCAACCCCCCCCCCCCCCGTTCTGTAGCTTGTCTGTCTGTCTCCGTCATGTGACAATTATGCAACCCAAGTTTCCAACCAAGACCAGGGTTTGCCTTTGGCATCTGATGAGAAAGCTGCTTTGGAGTGCCTCCACCACCCACTCTGGCAGGTTTGGAAATGGAAATGGAAAGGGAAAGGATTGTTCTCACAGTTGTGCTGGGCTTCCAACCCCCCCAACTAACCAGGGTATCATCTCAGAGTTTCTGCAATGGCACAGCTTGAGGTCAGGGATCAAATAGCCCAGTCCTCTGCATATCTACTTGGAAATCAGCCCTGATTAGTTTGATGAGATTTACTCCCAGATACAGATCCCTAACAGCCATCTCCCATCGAAATTTACAAACCATTACAAAAACAGTATTTATGATGCAGCCAAACACTGCCATTGAAATCAGTGCCAGATAAGTTCCTTTGACTTTGACTGTGTTGTGCTCTGCTCAGATACAACTTTAATACAATAAGAGACACTGTGGTTGCAATCCACAATCCACTTTAGCAAAATTGCTTGGATTTATGTCTATCTAGCCCCATTCATATGCATAGATTATGGATGAGTCTGCCGCACATTAGCATCTTAAAGAGTTTTATGGGATGTTTAGTTCCCATATACAAATCAGCTAAAACATGGATCAGAGCTAAATTTAAACCCATTGACTGCTATCAGCTTAAATGCAGGAATGCCAGTTTGACTGAACTGCAGACTGGGTTACACTGGCGTGCAAGCCCACCTGGTTTCAGTCATCTAGCTTAACTGATTTGTGGCTCAAGCTGAGTGCCACATAGAAATCCACAGCATTCTTGTACTCACTATCCTCACACCTCTGTGCTGTGACAGCTCTGGCTTTCAGTAATGTAATAATATTATTTTTGAGATCAGTTAAGGTATAAAATGTGCGCACCTTCAGTCTTTAATATTAATAAGTCTTGTAACTAGTGGTTTCTCGTAGCTCCGAATTCTTGAGCACAACTAGAAAGGGCACTTATCCTGAAAAATCTAATAAATTTACAGTTTTATATACTTCCTTCAATTGTAAAAGTCTTGTTCAATAAACTTTAAAATGCCACTATAGAGCAATAACACAGACGGTATAAAGCCAGCCCAGGGAAAGCTGTGCAACTAGAAATTGTTCCCCTTTCTGCTAGAGCAATAAAGTTTTATATGTTTGAACTGACTGTAAAAAGGTTTGAATGTTGGCAACTGGGGAATAATCTGTCTTCTTTATAGTTATTATCATATTTCCCACAAGACCCCTTGGTCTGTGTCAATCCTTCTTGTATATGACACCTTTGTACTGTCAGCGAAAGCTAGAATACTTTACTCTCTTTTTTGTTTTGTTTTTTATCCTATAGGTCTTGTGTCTGTATTCCTTCAGATTACAGCAAGCAAGAATAAATTACTTGTGACAAGCTTCAATTGCACGTTTTACCAAATAACGCTAAGTCTGAGCTGCCTTTTCTTGGGGGAAAAAATTAATAAATGATTACATTTACTCGTCATTTGATCCAAAAGTGATTCAGGGACAGTCATAAAAACGAATTTGCAAGAATGTTTCCCAAGGCTGCAAGTGGGTTGGTGGGGAGACAAGTTAATTCTTTCGGGCAGCAGCCATAAATGTGGGGGCAGGTCTTCCTTTCATATCCCCCTGAAACTTAGCCCTCTCTCGAGCACACAAAAGCATAACTGCGAGATGCCACAGGAAACGTTAAAGTTGCATCTGATTAGACAACAGAGTTGAGCTGACACTGGAATCTTTGGAGATGTGTAAGAACCCTTTCAAAGGAATAAAATAAAATAAATAAATGCTAACAAGCCATGGTTTTGGATTCCTGCTATGCACACTAAACAGCTTTCTACCTTGGTCCCAGGTTTCTAAGGCTGTGTCAAAGGGCCAGGAGGACTAAGAAACTGATTTCTCATAGCAGCTTTATGAGTTTTATCATAGTTATTCTCGTTTTTCAGACAGCAATTGAGGATAATTGGCAGCGACAAGGACAGGCCCACTTATTAAATTCTTGATTGGGCTGGCACTTGAACCCAAGTCTTCTTAATGCAAGTCCCAGTCTGGATTACGCAAGGATACCTTGTTATATTGGACACATTCCTTTACAGCATGGCTGTAGCTCATAAAGTTGGGCTTCTTGTGTGCTATCCAAAGTACCTATTGTTGGCCTGAAAATCTTAGCTTTCATTTAGCCATTATGACTATAGAGAAAAGGCACAAAATGTTTGCACAGGAGAATGTTGATCTGGAGTTCAGAATATCTGATCACTGGGCCTATGAAAGATTTCAGATTATATGTACACTTTTAAACTTGCCCAGAGAACTGACACTGGTATGATGGCAAATTTGCAATGTCAGCAGGATCCCAAACTTAGAGGGGCCTGGCAGTGTCACATGGTTACCAACTTGTCTTTCAAGACAATTTTTTAAAAAATAAAAATAAAATCTGGTTCCAGAGTTGAGCCCTGCAGGAAAAGGGCAGAGACCAGGGGGACTGAAAAGCAAATGCAAATTTGCAGGTGAGACTAAAAAGAGCCACACTTTTCTTTTCCCTTTTTCAGAATGATAAATAAAATAATTTTACTGTAGTGTGTTAATGTGACATTGTTACAGCAGACTGTAATGCTGTTAAACTCCAGAAAACTTCAAAGGCAATAATAATAGTCTTGAAAAATGATAGTGATGATAACATTGAATGAGTGTGGTTTAGTGAGTAGAGTGTTGGCCTAGGACCTGGGAGACAAGGGTTCAAATCCCCACTCAGACATGAAAATCACTGGGTGACCTTGGGCCAGTCACTACCTCTCAGCCTAACCTACATAACAGGATTGTTGGGGGGATTAAATGAGGAGGGGGAGAACCATATATGGCACATTGAGTTCCTTGGGGGGGGGCAAGTGGGATAGAAATGCAATAAATAAGTAAGCATTGTTACTGAGCTTGTCCGGATTACTAAACTGTATTCTCCTAACATTTCATAGAGTCATGCTTAGAGACATGTATATAACTCCCCAGTTCCAAAACCAAGGTTCGCATCACTGTCCAGCTCTCCTTCCTATCTACCCCAAACCAAAACACACCATTGCACATTGTTGCGTGTTTGGGTTTTTGTTTTGTTTTTAAATATATATATTATTGAATAAGATATTATTTTAAAAAATACCCATTTCCTATCAAAAAGCTTTACATACATTCCAGCAACAGGACAATACAAATCGACAAACACAATTGTGACAGAAGCATAGAAAGCAAGAATTAAAAGTCCATAACTAAAATAAAGGTGAGTGAACACACTTGAAGGATGATCACTAAAGCCATAGAGAGGATTCAAAATGCTTAAGTAGATCACTCAAGGACATTAGGCCATGCATATAGTTAAGAATCAAGTAAATCATGCAGAGAACACAAAAATCCAAGATACGGCCGCTTGTCTAAGTCTACCTAGTAAGATCAGAGCTGATTTGAGAGTTCAATGCTTCTCAGCTGTCACATGGAAGATGGAGCAAGATTGTTTTCTCCTGCTCTGGAGGCTAGGACTCAAGCCAATGGCTTCAAGTAACAAAAAAAGAAGAAGAAATAAATTCCAGCTAAACATCAGGAACTTTCTGGCAGTAAGAGCTGTTCAACAGTGGGCTCACCTTCTTTGAGATCATCATGTGTCATGGATGCTTTAGCTGAGATTCCTGCATTGAGGGGAGTTGGACTGATTACCTTTTGGGTCTCTTCCAACTCTACAGTCCTATGATCTTACTGGTTAGAGCAGAAGGGAGTCACGCTCCAAATCATTGAGATGGCACCAGGTAGAGGAAGGTGCTTTAAAATATGCACAGCTTTGGAATGTGCACATTAATAAGAATAAGAATAATATTTTTCTTATTTATACCCCACCCATCTGGCTGGGTTGCCCCAGCCACTTTGGGTGGCTTCCAACACATACAACAACATAATAAAACATCAAACATTAAAAACCTCTGGACACATTGACACCTGGAAGCACCTTCAAACTTTGGATCAATTATTAAGAAACTCAGAAAAATCCATCTGAGGGCCAAAACAGATGTGAACTTGTTCAAATAATGTAAACAAGTACACGTGTGAATAGAGGCCTTGCGGGAATCTAGACTGGAACCATGCCATTGGGAGGGAGCACGCATCTTTCATCACACTCATGTGATCACAGGCATAAGTCACACCGGGATAGCCAATGTTGTCCAGGTGCTATGGGCTACAACTCCTATCAGACCCAGCCAGCATGGTGCATGGTCAGGGATTATGGAAACTGCAGGTCAAAATATATGGAGGGCACCCCCTGGGCTATACCATAGTAGCTGACCTGGATCTGACCAGGCCATAACTGGGAGGAGGATCAATTTATTATTTGCTCCAAAGACGTGTCACCAGGAGCAAAGGGAATGCTTAGAACCCACTGGCGATCCTGACTGCTTCTCCTTCGTTTTCTTCCTTATAAGTGGACAGCTGCCATTTGCTCCCTTGAGATGCAATGCCGCACTTTGGGACAACTGTGTGTTGCACATTAGGTGGCTGACAACATATATTCAAGGGGTGAGAAATGCACGCTGTCCCTGTCCCCCACCCCACTGCCTTAAATATCCAGGAACACACGCACACACGGACTGCCCATGACAACGACGGGCATTTTGCTAGTGGCAATATAAAAATGTGTCGAGGGAACGAGGAGCACGGCAAGGGTTAAGCCCATCCTGTAATAAGCATTTCTGTTCTGGCGCGTTGCAAGAGCCCATTAGCTCCCGCCACATTACCTCATTCATTTCTTATATGCGGATGGTTTATTTTCCCATGAGCACCCTGGCGCTCAGACATGGCTAGTATAAAGTCCCCTCCCTCTTCTCTATTTCTCTATCCATCACATTTAACACTCTGACAGTAACAGTCTATAATGTTTCTATTCTACAAAACCGCTCTGTCAACTCCGGGCTTCCAGAGCAGCAACTGAGGAAAATAAATAACATCAACGCTGTGGACGACAGCATCACAGCCTGCTTTCTGCTGGGGCTTTCAATATATTTTTATTTTATTTTTTCACAAAGGAGGAAAGGGAGAAAGCTACATGCATGGGAGGAGCAGGATCCTAACCACCTGACAGACGCAAAGGAATTTGGAAAGCACTTCAAGGGGAGATAAAAGAAGAGCATTTTCCCTGCACAACATACTCCCTTTCCCACCCTGCCCTGCTCTCTTTGCTTTTGCAGCCAGTATGGTGGACTTGCAGGCAACTCAAGGTGCCCTGTTTCCTCCTAGGAACCAAGGAACAGCAATGGCAGCTTCTGCTATTCTGGGTTCATTTCCTTACCCTTTGATGTGTCACACTCCCTTAAGTACCGTGTATCTTTTGGAAGAAGGTGTGCCTGGGCCTGGGCTTCATTTTACTTTTAATAAATAAAAATAAAAATAATTCCTTCCAGTAGCACCTTAGAGACCAAATAAGTTTGTTATTGGTATGAGCTTTCGTGTGTATGCACACTTCCTTCAGATACACTTTTAATAAAGCACGTAGGGTTGTTGTTTTTTGGGTTGTGTGGATTCTTCTAATAGAGTATCATCATCATCACGACCATAACCAGTACTATTATTAAATCATCCATCTGCCAAGGGTTGAAATGATTGTGAGAGGACACTGAGTTGTCAAGGAGGCATCTTTCTGCTCCATAGTTGGCCCCAGGCAGTAGGAGGCAGGACTTCCTTCCTTACATACTGCCTGTGTAGTGTCTGCTTTGCATAGGCTCAAAGACAAGGTTTAGCGCAAAGGTATTTTTTTAACACCATGCATTGGTATGGTTATTGCCTCTTTTGTATTTTAATAACTGTATCTTTTTTAATATAATTTTTTATTTTTTCCTTCTGTGAACCACCAGAAGAGCACATGCCAATAGGTGGCAATATTAATTCAGCAGCAGCAGCAGCAGCAGCAGCAGCAAGTCGTCCTGCAGGGTCTGCTATCTGAAAGAAACAACTTCTAAACTCACCTCAACCTCTGATTTTCAACATGTTCAAAGGATGAAATAGGATGAAAAAGAATTATGAATATTTAACAAAATCAGCTTTCATTTTCCATGGCTATGAGTATTTGTGTGTGCACGCAGTATGAATTAATGTGCATTTTCAAACATTTGCACCCCAAGTAATTCATTTCATAATTCATGTCTGGAAGAGGAGATGCACTGCAAAAAATTGTTAAAATACACTTTCATTCTCTTGTTCTATAGTTTACACACACACAAAGGGGTGTGGGTGTGGGTGTGGGTGTGGGTGTGTGCTGGGAAATAAAAGCTGGTCTTGCCATGGGTTGATATTCATGATACCAAATATTTCCTTTTGGTATCATGAATACCATCTCCCAATCTGGTACCAAATCAGATTGGGACCATGGCATATTTGGTTTAACTCTTTCAGTCCCATGCCATTTTCCCACCCAAAATATCTCAGCGGCTATTTTCCTCTGGAAATGCTATTCCCAGTCAGGGCCACCAGCACCTGGGGACTGAGCCCTTTAGGGCCCCTTCAATATTTTGGGGGTTGGGGCCAGGCCTCTCCTATGTCCGTGAAGCGCAGAGCCAAGCACAACACGGCTCCAGCGGCCAGCTCCTTCTCCTCTTCCTCCAGCTGCAGAGGGGAAGGATGGTCAAAGCAGCTTCTTGCTGGTGGCAGCGCCAGGAGGAGGCAGAGAAGGAGCTGCTGGCCATTGAAGCTGCATGGCCGCCGCATTTGGCTCCACCCCTAGCTCCTCGTGACATCACAACATTGGCCCCCAAATTGGCCTTGCATTCTGGCACCCCTGCTCCTAGTAAAGAGCATCTTGCGGGGAAATAGCAAAGCTTGGAGTCATAGTTATGTCATGTGTAAAATAGGGAGCAAGTGATGGAACAAGAAGGCTGCACAAGCAGGGGGGTTATCCCTTGTCACACTCACTCACAGCCCCTTGCAAACACAGCCAGGATGCTAGCACTGAAGAACTGTGACCTGCCATTAATGCGAAATCAGCTGACACCACAGCAGCCAGCCCAAAGAATGGGTCGGGAGGCAAGCAGTCAGAAGGGTTATCTAATGCTAGCTTCATTCTAATTGAGTTGGTACCATATGTCACCCTGCAATAACATCGCAAGCAGTGTGCAACTGAATACATATTTAATTCACATAATGGGTACAACAGTAGAAGTAATCAAGGCAGTTTGCCATAAGCCATAAAGAAATGTAGCTTGTTCCCTATCAAGAAACATTCAGCACTTAGAGGGAAACTGTATCACCAGAAAAGGGAGAATTGCATCACTGGAAAGAGCTAAAAACACCCAGCAGAGATTAAAGCCAAGGACCTGATCTGGCATGAATGAAAATCAATGGGAGAATATTGTTGACAAATCGTTAGCCCTCTCAATATAATTAACAGTAATGGATTTATTGGCAGGATCTTAATGATTTTCATGTTAAATAGAAGCCCAGAATTTTCCTCATCCAGTCAGTCCATAGGGTCATCCTGAAGTGGAGGTTTCACCCTTTTCCTTACACAATCCAGCCAGTTCCACTTGGCAGTGCTGTACTTAAGAGTGGCAGCTGACATTAAGCCAGTGGCTCCTCCCCTTCATTTCTTTCTGCAATGAGATGATTAATATGATTGTGAAATGCTCATCAATTTCTTTGGACAGATGAGCCGGCATTTCCATTAAAGTCCTATTAATGCGCAGGAAACACAGCTGCGGACAGGTTAGCGTGGGGGAAAGTTCCAAAATGAAGTTGTGGGACAGCACCCCCAGGTCTGAAACAAACGCAACCCAGTGCTTCCGCTCATTAAGACTTCCACCACCAACATGTTTTGATATATATTTCATGAGGATAAACAAACATTCATTTCACTTTAGTGAGGTGCTTTGCTGTAACATATCATCAGCCCAGCCAGCAATGAGGGGACATTAATTTCAATTCTGGTGTTTAAACACTTTGGCGAGGCCAATCATTCATTCCTGGCTTAGCCCTCCAAAGCCCCCAGGAGACGCCAGGGCTGCCCCCTCCCCCTGCCAGCATCACATTATTCCAACCTGGGAAGGCTTTTGCCATTCAGACTGAGCAGAGGACAAGAGATAAGTTGTCCCTAGGTCGAAGAGAAAGAAGAGTCGAAGAAGACAAAAAAGAACCAGTTGTTTTCCATATTCTAATATGAACGGAATATTAAAATATACTGAGGGGATCTGTAATTCTAAGCCAAAGGCCAGGACAAATAAGTAGGTAGGCAAGCCAAGGCCCACTGAAATCAATAGGATTTGCCTGCAAATATTGAAAGTGCCTTGCTGGTATAACTACAAAAAGCCCACCGGAACATAAATTCCACATTAAGATCATCACTAATTATTTGAGACGTTGTTCTTGAATCACAACTAGACCTCCACCACCCTATTTAATAGACTCTCTGGGATTGGGGACATAACGGTATCCAAAGATTTTGATGTGATGATACCCCAGCTAAGTTTTAGTAGTGGCAAGGAGAATCTAGAAGTGGATCACAATGTGCAAATTATGCATTCACAGAACATCCAAAGCATGTTCAAGTGCTTCCACGAAAGAATGACAGGAAACAGAAGCAGTCCTTTATCCAGCACACAATTTTATTTTAAAATGTAGAATCCTTGGGGATTGATAGCACTGAACTCTGGAACTGGAAGGAGGTTGTAACCATGAACTTAGAAGTGAACTACCCTGGCCTTTTTATGCATTGTGTCAAGATCCTACCAAGCTTCAGGCCCAGATCATAAAAAAGATTGCTCCAATATCCCAATTCCCTTTTTCTACCACTGGAGACATGCATTTCTATTTCCTGTCCCCCAAAATTTATCAGCCTTCAGGGATGCTCTGCTAAATGGCAGAGTCTCAAGTGCACAAGTACTACCTAGGTCATGGTGTTCTGATGGTCCAAAAATTATTCACTCACCAGGCTTGTCACAGTGAGCACCAACCAGTGATCAAACCCCAGCATACCTCCTGAACTTGGGAGTTGGAGAAAAGAGATGGCCTCAGTTACACTATGCTCTGAAACTGCTCCAAGCACCTTGGAAGAATGATGCAACATGGGCAAGCTTCAAGATCATCCCTGATCTCACAGTGTACTTCAGAAGCCTAAGGTGATGTCAGGGACAAGACTCCTGAGTTGTAGAGTCCCGGCAATCACAAAAAGTAACTGGCTATTAAGGGGTGGGGGGTGGAAATGAACTCTGCTTGCATATATATGCAAAACTCCTTCATTTCAAATTATGGCATAATTTAGAGATTGCAGGCTTCACCAGCACCGTAGACCCCTCCCCTGCATGCAAGTATGCTCTATCCAGGGTAGTTGTGAACCATAGGAACTACAATTCCAGTTTTCCCAACTGGGCATATGAATATAAGGGAGCCACTGGGGCCTGAAAACCTGTAATGCCCTTCAGCCAATGAACCTACCAGCCCCTAATGCCTCCAGAAATAGCTTCAAGGTCGGGGAGTGGGGAGCCTAATTTGCACCCTGAAGGCTGCTGCACAGTCCCCACCTCCTTCAGATTAGGACCCTGGACATATAGCTGCCCTGCCAGGAAAATAATCTAATTACTTTGGATTACATTCAAAGCATATGTGTTCATGTGTGCCCATTATTATTTTTATGCCCCCAAGTTCCATCTGGCGTTCCCTCCCGCAAATTCCTTTCCTTTTATTCCCATCTTCAGTCCCTAGACAATGAAAATAAATTAATAAATCAGTTTCTTTTCTTTTCTTTAAAAAAAACCCGGAGTCTTGAAAGCTGATGAAATTATGCAAAGTAAATAGATGTGGGTTTATATCTGCATGATTTATCTTGAGTGCCAAAGACAGGTTTCCTTAATGCAGAGCACCTGTTTATATTTCACATTCTACATGACATATAAATGTAAAGAAGAGATGCATTTTCATATGTACCTATCAAGTAAAGCAGGTCAGCTGAGGCATATGCAGACTCTGCCTCCTTCCCTCCCTCCGTGTGTGTGTGTGTGTGTGTGTGTGTGTGTGTCAGAGAGAGAGAGAAAGAGAGAGAGAGATTTTTTCCTCACTTTTTGATGTGCCTGAAAATAACTAGATATAGGTTTTAAGGGTAAATCGGGAAAATTTGAAATTAGCCAGTGCAACAGAAAGAGGAATTGAAAAGTATGATACACATAGAGCATACATGTTTAAATATATAGGGTGCAGTTGTAGCAGGCAAGCAAAAATCTGGTGGAAAGCATTAATACTCCAGGAATCTCCAGAAGCGAGCCTGACTGCAGACACTTAAGCTCTCGGCTCTGCCATTAAAGCTGGAGCCTAAATTATTGATCCCTTGCCTTGATCAGCATAACAGTCACGTCCCCGGAATCGAGATCTAAGTACACTGCGGTCCCTGTGCTGCAGCCACTGAAATAATTAGGAGAAATTCTCATTAAAGGAGAGTGAAAGGTTCAGAGATGGAGACAGAGTAAGGGGTCTGGGCGAGTGTTTAATGTGTTCCAACAGGGTCGAGGGATTGCTCAGATCAAATCCCCGCACAGGGCTCTGGGGCGGGGGGGCGGGGGTGGAGATGTCAGTTTATCAAAACGAAAAGTACAAACGGACAGAAAGCTATTGCTGAATTCACACCTAAATATAGTCACACAGAGTGGGAAAGAGACAAAGAGAGAGAGGGAATGCGAGGGAAAGGGACTAAAAATAAATAAAAAGGAAATTAATAATGGAAAATCCATCATGTACTCCTTTGAGTCTAATTTATTCATCCTTTAGAAATGCAAGGGAACTCGCGGATGGGGGGGGATGGGACAAAAAGCAAACGGACTGAATTGCCCACACGACTGTGAATTCAGACCTCACAAACCTTAGCACAATGTAGAAAGGCAGGCACACACACAGATACACACATGCCACTTGCCAATTGGTAGGATCAGATTCTCCCTAGTGAATTCACAGAACTGTCCTCCTCGAAGAAACACACAGGCTTGGAATGCAAAGACTGCTCAGTACCAACACAGAAACCAGTGTCACACGGACACACACATACAGCCTGCCTCCCCCCCCCCAAAAAAAGAATGGGGCAGGAGAGGGAGGGCAGGAAAGATGAAGCAAATGATGAAGAGGACATGAATAAGACATTTGGATAAATGCGAAACTTGGGCCCACCCACCCCCTCTACCTCCCTTCCATCAAAGTTTCCCCATATATTGAATGTCAACACACACTGCAATTTAAAAGAAAAATTCAATCTCACTCAGCTAATCAGAGTGGTTAGAGAGACCATTAACACAAACTCTGGGAATATCAGAAATTGATTGTTCTTTTTCTTACGAGATTGCAAGAGCTGCCGGCTGAGGGGCTACATAGGATTTGGCAGAAGGCCTGAAATATTGTAGGATCGCCAGGCACACAGCTGCCATGACAGATCCCCACGGCAGAAGGCCTCGGGTGCACCAGTGAGACACGCCACCAGCAGAGCTGGTCCACCTGCAAAAGGGCTGAATCTGCTCTCAGCAGCCACAGGCACTTTTCCAGGGACAGAACACTCCTGGCACAATAGCCATGCTCCCAGGGGACCCCAGGAAGAAGAAGAAGAAGAAGAAGAAGAAGAAGAAGAAGGAGGAGGAGGAGGAGGAGGAGGAGGAGGAGGAGGAGGCGGCGGCCAGGCCGTTACTTGAATGGGGACAGCAAGGCTTTTGGGGAGTGAAGAGGTAAATAAAAGGGGGGGTGGAGAGGGGGAGGAAACCCTGATCTCATCTTAAAATTCACTTAATATTCTCTTATTCACACACACACATTTTTGTAAAGAACGACTGATCCTGCGCGAAAGTGAGGAGGGGGGGGAAATACTCAACTAGCCTGAGTCTGAACTCTGTGGTGCTTTCCCCACACGCCGGACCCCCAGCCCCACAAGATCTCTGCTGGCAAAGGTGGGGCCCTCATTCCAACCAGTGCTAAGCAACTTAGCCTTGCGGGATCACAGCCCAGATTTATGGAGCAGAACAAACAGAACATTGATCTATGCAGTAGTTATCCTGATTGATTCAGGTTTCCTTGAATGGAAGGACCTTTTCCCTTTCCTAGTTTAGGGGTATACCCTGGATTCAAACTGGGGGGGCCCAGCACTGAAAACATACAATAGGAGTCCTCTGCAGCCGCTGTGCTCATGGTGTCCATGACTGAGTCACTTGAGGCTGGGTCGGAGTATGGGGTGTATGGGGGGGAGCAAAATGCCCCATGAGATCTCTGACTGTAGGCTTTATATCCTGGGAGCTCCCTATGTATCCTATTTCCCCTGGGTGGGATTTTAAAATCTGTTCCTTTGCTTCCCCAAAGCATGGGTGTATTTGTGACTTTTGTGCCATTCTTGCATTTTCTACCTGTGTGTTTTCCCCAGGCTGAGCATGCCTTGTATGTGTCAGCCATTTCCTCGGCATAACAACAGCATCCCTGGCATAGAGTAAAAATAGGATTATTCTGTCAGTTAAGGCAGCAGAAAATTAGTGGTGGATGCATTTGTGTAAGGGTGTGAAGAAAACCAGTGGTGGACAATAATTATGTTAGCAATATAGCTAAGTGCACTACCTTTTTTTGGAAGAAGAAAAAAGAAACGGGGGGGGGGAGGGGGTTTGAAGATGAAACAGGCCTTTCCATCCCCCTCTCTTATTTTGAGAAGCTGGAAATACTTAGCATGAACATCACATCTCATAAGATGCACCACATCATTAAATGTCTTGGGCTGGTGCAGCGAGGAAGAAGAATGCAGGATGTCACCAACTGATAGGGGAGAATACTCTGAGGTTATTTATTAGAGGATACTTCATCCAGAAATAGCATTTTTGCTGTGTGCATTAGCTATTCTGCTTGCCTGCTTAGCCCTAGTGAAACCATAATGGCAGAAATACTCCAGCAATTCAGCACTGTCCAGCTCGTCTAACTGCAGCCCTGAACCCCACCCCCACAATACTTACAAACCCCTCCTTGGCACTATTACCCTTTCATTCAGTAGCTCCTCTGACCCTTCCTGCCAAGTTTGGCATCTTGGGAGACTTTGCATTCCACATATCCACTCAACCATACTTCCAATATTTAACACTGTAATACAAAACCAGAATTTCCAAAATTTCCAAATGACCAGAATTATTGCCATCTGTTAGGCCACTGTGAGTGCTGAATGCTAGACTAGATGGGTCTCTGATCTGATCCATCAGCACTGTGTTTATGTTCTTGTGATTCTTTAATATCCCATTCTGGATTACATATCATTAATATTTGTTTATTTTTTAAAAGATGGCTCTAGCCAACTACACTTACAGCTCCAGTTATTTTCAGCTTATGCACTGATCCACACTCTCTTCTGGCATTTGTCAGTTCATTGTTCAAAACTGAGGGGTCCAAAGATATCTTTATCAAGAGGATCCAAAACACAAGAAGTTGGCCGAACATCTCCAAGGATTCTGCCCACAAACTCAGGGCAAACAAGTTGAAAGTTATCCCATAAAACGTGGCAACTGGAAGCCTCCGAGTCCTTCAAAACCACTGCTGAGAAAGTCCATGGGGATTCCAGAGACTTTTATCTGAAAAATGCTGAGGTCACAGAGGGCTTCTGAGCATTCCTCCATTTCTTTCTGACGTTGCATTTGAAACAGGTCCTTCATAACCTAGAACAACTGCACTCAGGTAGAGGCAATGGTGACCACCCTCACCTTCACAGACCAGGAACAACTACCATCTCTTAGCTGTGTTTTATCCTGCCCATTACAAGTCTTCCTCCATCATCACTAGAGGTGCCTACCTACTTCATTCTGTAGAAAAGATGCCCACTCCCCACTGCTCTTTATCCTTCCAGATCTCAGGGATGCAAACCAGATTAGCACACTGATCTAGGATTAAATCATAGCACAGACATGGCATTAAAAAGAAAGATGGTAAGACCAAAAGTGAGATTGGTTATGCTTCCTTAAAGTGCAACGCTGCTCTAGGGGTGTTTTCTTCATTTTATAACTTCATTAATATGAAAAATAAAATAGAATTGTTTCTTAAAATAGAATTGTGGTGCCCACAACTGGACACAGTATTCCAGGTGTGGTCTGACCACGACAGAAGAGTACAGCACTATTACAGTGGTACCTCGGGTTACATACGCTTCAGGTTACAGACTCCGCTAACCCAGAAATATTACCTCAGGTTAAGAACTTTGCTTCAGGATGAGAACAGAAATCGTGCTCCGGCGGCGCGGCGGCAGCTGGAGGCCCCATTAGCTAAAGTGGTGCTTCAGGTTAAGAACAGTTTCAGGTTAAGAATGGACGTCCGGAACAAATTAAGTACTTAACCCGAGGTACCACTGTACTTCCCTTGACCTAGATACTATACTTCTGTTAATGAAGCCTAGAATAGCTTGCTTTATTTATTTATTTATTTATTTTTGCTGTGTCACACTGTTGACTCATTTGAAGCTTGTGGTCTACTGTGACCCAAGCCATGTGTCCACCATCTTACATTTGTGCAGCTGGTTCTTCCTGCCCAAGTGTAGAGCCTTACATTTGTCACTATTAAAATTCATTTTGTTCATTTGGGCCCAGTTCTCCAATCTGCTAAGGTCATCTTGAATCCCAATTCTGCCTTCTGTGGCATTAGGTACACCTCCTGGTTTGGTGTCATCTGCAAATTTGACGAGGATCCCCTCAATTCCTTCATTCAAGTCATTATAAACATGTTGACAAACAATGGGCCCAGGACAGAAACCTGTGACACTTCACTTCTTTCCAGGATAAGGGGCCATTGAATAGTACAATTTAACATTAAATGTTAAATAGTAGCAAATGAATTTTGGCAGATGCAAGCTGGGAATCCTTTGCTTGTCAGATGTATACAGCTCCTCATACCTGTGAAATAATTCAAATCCTTTCCTGCATACTTTTGCATGATCCTCTCTTCTCTCATACTATCCCATCACCATATTTTACCAGTAGCCTTGCTTACTTCAACCTCTCTCCCTCTCCATGCTACTTCTAGGGGGGAATTGGAGGGAAGCTTGCAAGATCCCCTAAGGCTCAGACCTTGAGACACAGCATCAGAGTCCGGGAGCTAAAGAGTGGTGCCTCTCTGATCGGGAGGGGATCAAATGGGGTGTGAGAGAACCCAGGGAAGCCTGGCAATGTGAGTTGCGGGAGTGTCTGGCAACTGCAGTGTATAACTGAGACAGGCGAGTGAAACATTCCAGTGATGAGCGAAGGTTCCCCTTTCCAATTTGCTTATGTCACTAAACTCTTGAACCTTATCTAAATGAGTTCATGGCTGAGGCAACATTTCAACCAGGGACTCCTTGGCTCAAAGACACTTTTTAATATGAATGTATCTCTGCATCCATTCAACTTACTATGTATTTTGGAAAGTTGTTTGTATGTTTGTTTTGCATTTGGAAACCTCTTAAGATATCGTAACCAAATTTTGCATTATGGTTCCTGAGATGGAGAAGCAGTTTTTCATCTTTGGATGCCGCTGAGAATAAAGATGGCAGACTGAACTGCACTCATTTTAACCACAGATTTTTTGGTTTGCTAGAATTCCGAAGCAACGCCAGAAGCAAAGCTACTGGTACACAATAAATTGTGTTTTGTTTGATTCAAATAGTACCACTCTATTCTGCCTTGGTCATAACCATACCTGGAGTACTGTGGCCAGTTCTGGGCACCAGGAGGGCAACCAAGATGATCAAGGATCTGGAAACCAAGCCTGATGAGGAATGGCTGAGGGAGCTGGGGATGTTTAGCCTGGAAAAGAGGAGACTAAGGGGAGATAAGATAGCCATCTTCAAATATCTAAAGGGCTGTCACATGGAAGATGTAACAAGATTGTTTTCTCCTGCTCTGGAGGGTAGGACTCAAATTAATGGCTTCAAGTTACAAGAAAGGAGATTCTGATTAAAGATCAGGAATAGCTTTCTGATGATAGGAGCTGTTTGACAGTGGAACATACTGTCTTGGAAGGTGGTGGACTCTCCTTCCTTGAGGTTTTTAAGCAGAGGTTGGGTAGCCATCTGTCCTGGATGCTTTAGCTGAGATTCCTGCATTGCAGGGGGTTTGGACTAAATGACCCTTTGGGTCTCTTCCAACTCTACAATTCTATGATTCCCCTCTCTCTGTTTCTCTCATATATATATATATATATATATTCTCAGTCCGTTCCAGGAAAGTATGTGCATCTATGCTGAACAAAAACTGAGAAGACTGAGGTTCTCCATGAGCAAACTTCCCCTATTAAGTTACCTTTAAGAAGGTCAGCATTTTTGCCATGCTCACCCAAAGACTGCTGTGTGTGTGTGTGTGTGTGTGTGTGTGTGTGTGTGTGTGTTTGTGCTGCCAGCATTTTTTCCCCTGTTTCATTAAAAGGGGGTCCTGTTTCCACTTAGCCCAATCAATGGGACAATCAATATAGTTTGTTCTAGAGATCCTTCCCTTACAATGAGAGTTCGTAACCTCCAGGCCATCCAAAATAGTTCTGCCCACCGGCTCCTCAAGGATGCAGTGCAAAATGAGCTTTCTTTGCAGCCCACACTGCCACCTAGAAGGCTCTATGATAAGCACTGGCCAGCGTTTGGTCAGTTTTGGTGCAATGCTTCTGCCACTTATTGCACTCTAGTCATCATCCAGCTTGTCATGCATTATGGAGTGTTGTTATTTATCAGTTCTGTTATTAGGTTTTATATTGTTCCATAGCAACACTCTTGAGCAATTCACAAAAAGCAAAACTGAATAATAGTAAGCTGCAAGCAAGAATAAAAAGCAACTCTTTTCATACCCACATCACCGAAGGCAAGAATGAGAGTCAAGAATTAATATCCAGATTTAAATTTCCATCAACTTCAAATAAACGCTCTCTGAAATTAACCTGCTCGCTGAAAAGCTAGTAAGGAATTTTTCAAATTCACATTTTTCATGCTGCCCAAAACTATGAAAGTCGGAAGTGCAGATTATATTTTGTCACTTCTGAGAAGACACCAAGTGCCTCTTCCCTTCCCCTCTGTACACTTTCAAATATGGTGCTTGGGGATGGGAGGAAATCCACTCATTTTCCGCTTCACCAAAGTTAATGATGTACATCAGGCTGTGCACCTCCATCCCCATCATGTCTCTCTCCCTCAGGCTCTTCTGCTCCCCAATCTATCTGGAGTCTGCTTGGACATCACCACACTGAGACAAGCTGCAGCAGGTGGGTGAAACTAGGAAATGAAACCACCAGCCACAACTTTCCACCTGTAGGATTGCTCTCAGAAATGATGTTCCTCCTGAGTCTCTGGCTCAAGAAAAAAATGGCCCAGGTAAACTACTTGAGGGAAAGGTGAAGCACGACAATCTTTTGAAATCCAAGTCAGCCACTTTCTTAATCAGGGTCACTTCTATAATGTGTAGGGTCACTTTAGGGTGCTCAGTTCAGGGTTACCTTTAACTTCATAAAACAGCCTATAATTTATGCTCCTCCCCAAAAAGACCATGGACAAACCTAGCAACTGCTGTTTGTACAAGGTCACGGGAAGGCTGCCACAGATAATGAATTGGGCACCTTGCAGTTGCTGCATGTTGTGGAGGGCACACTTGGCCTCATGACGGGGGAACACAGCACTTGAACCAAGGCAGGGCATGCAACCAGGGTTCTAGAGGTGAACGGGCAGTGCTGTAACCCCTTGTGGAGTGGCTGACACTGAACATCTTTCTGCTGTTTGGCCTTGGCACTGCCAGGGCCAGTTGCCGTGTGCCAGCATGGCAGCAGCCAAGGCCCTCAGCTTGTTAGACTGAAAGAATGTGCCGTTTTAATTAATGATATGTAAATATCCTTGAATGGGCTGCATTTGCATATTAAGAGAGATTTGCGGAATCTGCGGAGTAATATATTTTAATTAAGGATTAATTAAAAATAATGGGAATTTCATTTCGCCTGGCAGAATCCGTTTAGATCTTAGCACACGTCTGCTCACGAGTCTGGTCCGACTACTCGGCATCCCACGTCCTGCAGCTGAGCCCACCTCTCCCGTGTTTATCCTTCAACACCCGGGTCTCAAACAACAAAATGGCACCAAAAGGGGGGCAAGCAGCCAAAGTATCCTCCCTGTGCACCTCCTTGGTGTGATTTCCAGGCTGGTTTTGGTACGTGGGGTGTTTTTTTTAATCGTAAAGTAAGTAAATGGCTCTGAGACACGGAACACTAGTTGTGTTGGCAATTATGTTAATGGGATGCTATTAGGCTATGATTCTATATGAGCAATTGGGGAGAAGAAATGCCTTACTGAGAGAGAATGATACAACAGACGTCTGTCTTATTGATATAGCTCCAATGGAGCTTTCTGCATAATTACACTCGGCCACTTTCCATGGGTGGGGGAGAGGCCCTAACCACTGAGTGGTACATGGGAGCTAAGACACAAGAATGGAGTCCAGCAGCATCTGGAGGGCCACAAGCTCCCCGTCCTTGCACTAATGCCACATGTATGTCAAATGCATGGCCGCCATTGGCCTATTGTCAAAAAGAGCTGTGTAACAACAACAGCAGCAGCAGCAGCAGCAACAACAACAACAATAACAACTACATGCCACCCATATGACTGGATTCCCCCAGCCAATCTGTGTGGCTTCTAACAAATTAAAACACAGTAAGACATCAAACATTAAAAAACTTTCCTGACCAGATACAGTGGTACCTCGGGTTACATACGCTTCAGGTTACAGATTCTTCAGGTTAAGAACTTTGCTTCAGGATAAGAACAGAAATTGTGCTCCGGTAGCACGACAGCAGCAGGAGGCCCCATTAGCTAAAGTGGTGCTTCAGGTTAAGAACAGTTTCAGGTTAAGAGCGGACCTCCAGAACGAATTAAGTACTTAACCCGAGGTACTACTGTAGTTGTTTATTTCCTGACATCTGATGGGAGGGCGTTCCATGGGGCAGGCACAACTACCAAGAAGGCCCTCTGCCTGGTTCCCTGTAGCCTCACTTTTCTCAGCTTAGGGCATTAAAAGTCAGCACCAACACTTTGAATTGTGCTCAGAAACATACTGGTAGCTGCTCCCTGTCATTAGTCTGGTCACTAGTGAGAAAAATTAACTGCTCATGCTCAGAGACATGCTCAAGGATTCTGGAGCTGAGTCTTGGTTCAGCTCACATCGTACCATCACCATCTAGACTTGGAAAAGCATTGCACACTTAGGTCCAGGTAAAATCCTGATGGGAAACATTTTGCCCCACTGAACAGTCAAAACTGCCTTATTATCATGGACTGGCCGGATGCAGCAGAGCGGTGGGTGGCATCAGCTGGGAAATCCCCAGAAAATCCCCAGAAGAAGAAGGCTCAGAGCCAGGGGATTGGTGGTGGGACAACGATGAGTGGCCAGAGGGAGAAGAGGGAGGAGGAGGTGTCAAAAGCTAAAGTGGCAACAGGGTTTAGTGAGCAGCAAGAGGCTGTGGCAGAGAACAGTCAAGAATCAGCTCTCGCAACTTCATTGGGGAAAGAACTACCGGGAAGAGCTGCTGTGATCACTAGGCCTGTGATGTTTTGGTTTAACTTCACTGACACCAGGTGTTTTATTGCTGATCTTCCCCTGACTCCAGCTCTTGACACTTATCCTGGATCAGATCATAGGTTCATCTAGCCCAATATTGTTAATTGTGACCGGCAGGAGAAATTTGCTAAAACATCAGATCTGAGATCTGTCTCTTTCCCAGTTACTGGTAATGTTGGTGATTCAGTCTGGAACCGTCTGCAAACATAGAATGCACTTTTCCAGGAAGCTACAACCCTTAAGAATGTAAGATGAGCCTGCTGGATCAGGCCCATGGCCGATCTAGTCCAGCATCCTATTATCAATGGCCAACCAGATGTCTGTGGGAAGCCTGGAAGCTAAAACAGGACATAAACGCAGCAGCACTCTGCCTAGCTGCAATTCCCAGGAACTGGTTTTCAGAGGCAACCCTTCTCCACTGAACTTAGTCAGCTAGGCAAAACAGAAAGTACCCTGCAATATGGCTTGACATTTACAACCTGCAAGCTGATAAAGTAGTCTTAGTTGAAAGACCCTTGCTGGCAGGCAGGCTTGCTGTAATAGGAATCAGAAAAAATATTTCATGATCCTAAAATGCAGCAACAGACCTTTTTAAGGCCAGCTCTGGATATAAATGGAAAAGTATTTTAGATTCCAGTATGCTTGCTCAAAATGTCCAAGAGCTTCAGATTTTTCTAGTCCTATACTGCGGCTTGTTATATACCAAAATCCTTCCCCAGTATAGCAGGGGTAATGTCACTCACCTGGATGCTAGAAGGACAAATGCAATTTTCTAATACTTGGTTTTTGAAAAACTATGAAAATGCAACTTTGAAAGGAAATTCTTACCGCTTGAAAAATGGGTTCCATGATCAAAAATTTTCTAGTGGGTTCTGGAGTTCAAGATCTGTAAGATGTGCAATGCTAGAACTCTTCCTGGCATTCATCAAGGTGGATATGGAAAATCTGGAGGTTGAAATCCAGCCTCCAACTGGAAATAAAAGATGCACTTCCAGAGAAGTGGGTCAGGCCAATACAAACTAGCAGGGAACAAGGAAACACAAAAGAACCCAATGTGATTCCCAAGAGTGAAGCCCTGCAGGGCAACTGAATGCAAAGGGGATGACTTGGGAAGCTAGGAACCTTAGATAGTGTCCAGTCTAATCACGAGCACCCTCCAGATCTGAGCTAAAGAAGCCAGTTATCACTTGTCAGCAACACAGGGCTTGGAGCTTCCTTTAATCGTCTCTTTCGGACCATATGTGCTCCTGCTGCCCGCAGCAAAGTATTACTGACAAGCCACTGCACTGAATTCCCCTGGATAGCTCTTATCCATGCCATGCACACCAGGAGGGGCAAATGCAAATGCTAGCTGCATGCCTACATCCAGAATGGGAAACATAAGCAGAGACCACATACACAGGGCTAATGGTATCTGGCTTGGAAATTGGAAGCAAAGGGTTCAAGGCCTACTTCTCTCATTGCCTTGTTGTGTGGTCTTATGCATATCACTCATTCTCTGCCTCAGTTTCCAAAACAGAAAAGCTGAGCAGCAATCTTCCACAGAGGATTCAAACGCAGCAATGCCAAAGGCAGGTAAAGGTAAAGGACGCCTGGATAGTTAAGTCCAGTCAAAGTCAACCTTGGGCTGCAGCGCTCACTTCGCTTCAGGATGAGGGAGCCGGCGTTTGTCCACAGACAGCTTTCTGGATCATGTGGCCAGCATGACTAAAACGCTTCTGGTGCAACAGGACACTGTGACGGAAACCAGAGCACACGGAAATGCCACTTACCTTCCCATTGCAGTGGTACCTATTTATCTACTTGCACTGGCCTGCTTTTCAACTGCTAGGTTGGCAGAATCTGGGACAGAGCAACAGGAGCTCACCACCGTTTCGGGGATTTGAACCACCAACCTTCCAATTGGCAAACCCAAGAGGTTCAGTGGTTTAGACAACAGCGCCACCCGCGTCCTGCTAAAGAAATTACAGAGTGCTGAATTCTAAAACCAGAGCCCCACTACTCTTAAAGTATCAGTGCCAACCAGAACTGTGCTATACAGGAAACAAAAACAGCTAGAATCAACCCTAGTTGAGTCTCAGTTCTAAAACAGAATGAGTAGGGAGGAAGATATTTTAAAAAGGGATACGAGGAAAATAAAAGGTTATAGGACAGCCTATAAACCCAAATAACCCTTTGCAGTTTTACTCTTTGGGACTTGGCGGGTTTCCATGTTTTGTGACCTACATTGAGTAAAGAGGTTAAAGCAAAAGAAAGGGATATTGATTTCCATGGGGGTTTCTGAATTTTTCACTATCTAATTAATCAGGTAATTAGCTTATTGCTATCAACAAGTAATACCACCGAGACTCAACTCAGGAGTCTTGAGCTTTGTCCATTCCCAGGCCCGATTTAAATGGGACCAAAAACAACAACATCTCACACCCTTTATCTATGCAGCAATTCATGTGCAGCCTTAAACACCTTGCTTCATGTACAGTGTTAAGCATGCCAGAGATTCATGAAACAAGTGTGCGTTTCTAATCCCACATCCAGAATAACTGAATTAATGTCCTTTTTGCAAGTGAGGCCAGGCACATGAAATACCTTATGTGGGCATATTTCCACGCACATGTAGTATCACACTTCTAACTGGGCAAGTCTCTGATTGCAGTGCAATTTCTGGATGATGCGCTCCCCTGTTATAGGTAATGTGGTTAGTTGATGATCATTCGATTGGGGGGGGGGCTTAGAACAAAAAATTCAAAGCCAAATTTCATCCCAGGTTTTGGACTCATCCATACTTTTGGGCGGTCCTGTGCCTAGAAAGCTTGGGTCTGAGCGGTTTTCCCCTTCCCCCACTCCTTGCCCAGAGAAAATCCACTCTTTAGTGCTAAATCAGAACAGATGTCAATCCAGAGAAAACCCAAATTGCCTGTGGAAGAGCCCTTTGTTTACTCCCTCTCCAGCTGATCTGCATGGGTCAGCTGAGGGGGTGCTGTTGCCTGTGTGAGAGCGCAAAAGAGGGGGGGGCACACCCATCACTGCCAGGCAGGCCTGTGCAGCGGAGGGGGCAGCAGGGCGGTGTTAGAAACTGAGATATGAAAGCTAGGAGCTAAATGGCACCTTAAACCTAGGTTGTAGGCGCCACAACGGAATGTCACGGCGCACTTTTTTTAATAACAATAATACAAAGCTGAAAATGAGTGAACTGCAGCTAAACCTATTAGCTTGCTTGGCGCTGCAGCAATCTCTTGAAAGTCGAGCGGGTAGGAATTTCTCATCCCATGCCCTCAGTGCCAGCAGTGGTAGCTTTAATCTGAAAACTTAGGGGCAGTACTGCGCCCAGAGCTCAGACACTGCTCGCGCTAATGAAATTCCCTGTCGCAAAATGCGCCTAGAACAATGGGAGTTTTGAACGCTGCCGCAGGGTATACTTACCCTGGGCCTTGGAGGGCTAAGTTGGCTGGGGGCCCTGCCAGGGACCAGCTGCTTTTTCGTTTATAACTTTATTCTAACAAGACTCCCGCCCTAGGCCTCAGATAAGCTCTGCACAGGTCTGGGGGCATGTGACCCCCCCAAGGCTGATCAAGACCAAAAAGAGTTAGCAACTCTAGTGCTATCAAAATATGAAGTTTTACCAAGTGCTATTTTATCATTCAATGGATTGTCAAACATATTCTCACACAATAAATCTGTCATATTTATCATACACCCCCCACACCTCTTTGGAAATCGCAGAATAGCTCCTGTGGGGCTTCCGGCCAGTTGACTATCCAGGAACCAACCGTGCAGAAACCTGACCAGTTTTAACAATCTAACAGCATCAAGCGAATTATTCCACTAATGGGAACCGTGACGCCTTTCCCATTAGTGGGGAAAACCCCACTACAGTGCATCACACATCAGTCAGGATAAAGATCACTCCTTCTGAATATGCTCCATTGCTGGGGATAAACGTATGAGTGATGGAACAGAAAGGCAAAATAGATGGCTCAAGCAAGTGAATCAAACTACATACTAGAAGAGAAGGAGAACACGCATATTTGAGAACCAATCTGACCTGCAGAAAAAAAAGCTTTCTGGTGCCAGCTGTGTGAGATCCCTTGGGCTAGCTCACACACTACATTTTCTAGCAATCCTGGTTACAAATGCAAATTGATTGCTAATTGCAAAATATGAAAGTATGAAACATGCAAATACAATAAGGTGTACTTGTAAGTAAGTAAGTAAACCTGGAGACAACATCCTGATGTTTATATTTAAAATTATTCTTTAAAAATGTTATCCCCTCCCCAACACCAATAACAACATCCCCCCCGCCCCCTGGAACATGAAGTAAATGGCCCAGATTTTTATTTTTCATTCATTCATTTGTATTTTCTGTTTGTGTGTGTTCATTTAATTTTAATTGAGCCATATAGTCATTCTTTATTCTTGTATGTTGTTGAGTCCTTGCTTCCTTAAATATAAATAGAAAAATCAAAAATTCCTGATTCATTTTGCTGATGTTCATCAGGGGAATTTGTTCAGCAGTTAGTTACACCCATCTTACATCTTCTAATAAGGGGAGCTGTGTCTCCAAAGAAATATGGCCAGTAACAATTCCCAGGATCACAGCACCATTTTTCTATCAGCTGTAATCAAGAGAATTGCTACCAGTGATATCTATAACCATCTGGTTAACATGTTTGATTTTTGCTAATGTAGCTACAAGCAATTGAGAGGAACTCTTGGTGTGGGGAGAGAATGTGTGAAATGGTCCAACATCCAGCTACCAAAACTTCTCACCTCAAAATGGTGAAACATGGAACCAACTCTGTTGGAAATTGCATTAAAACAAATAACTGGTAGCAGAGATGAAACAAATTTACTGATGCCATGCACATGAATTGCAAAATTTTAATTGCAATACTAGTGTTTTGGTAAGGGTCTTTAAAACGAGACTTGAAAGGAAGATTCTATGATAGAAGCTAAGCTTTCTTATGCATAAACTCAGCTCAAAGCTGTCTAAAAAGGAAAAAAAATCATCTGACTGTTTTGGGATTTAGAACCCTATAGTGTTAATCTTTAAATCTTAGAAGTAAGCCTCACTGAGTTCAATGAAACTTACTCCCTGGCAAATGTTTAGGACTGCAGATTCAGCTAGTTGTAAATATGAATGAATATTTTTATTAGCATAGTCTTCATCAATTAGAATTTTTGCATACAGATACGCATCTCAAAAAAAGGTTTATGATGGCAGACCAAAAAAATCAGTGATGCTGACATAAAAGCAGATTTTAGCTATTATGGAGTAATGAAAAACAACTATAAACACTAATCAGTGGCATTGGCTTGATATCTAGACTTTGAGAGAACCTTAATTCAAAGCCTAGCTCCATCACCATAGCCTTCTTGGGTGGCCTTGGACAAATCACTGCCTCTCTGCCTGATCCTAAGACCATTTTCTCAGTCAGAAACAATGGGCAAAGAGGTCTGACAAGCAAGAAAGGTGGGTTACACATGGCAGCTCTCCTCACCCCTCCCAATTCCCATCTTTTATTTATTTACTGCCAAGCCCAGAGCAGAGCCCCATACACAGCTGGAGGCTAAAGTCAGGCAGCTCTTCCTTTGACTTTAACACGAGGCCCCCTGCTCTGCTTTCTCCTCATGGAGGGCGCTTTGACGGATTATGCCTTGGCAGCCCAGACACCGGTGCTGCAGAAAATGTACAGGGAAGCGTCTCATACAGAGCCTCACAGCTGTGTCCTTCTGCCACCGGACAGAGACAGGGACTCATCACAGGGTAGTGGTGCCATGGAATGGCAGGCGCCCGAGGGCTGAGCATGACCTACAGGACAAAGCCATCCATCACCTCTTTTCCTCGCCTTCTCATGAAAGGGCAGTAGGTAATGGAGGGAAGTCCAGCAAGGACAAAAACAGCCATGAAACTGGACAGAAGGAACACCGGAAGTGTACAAGTCTGAGGATTCTATTCAGAAACAAGTGTCAACTGAAAACCCAACTGGAGGATTGTTCAACTCATGGTCTCTCAGTCATGCTGATACTTGCAAGGCACTGTCAGTGCAACAACTTCACCTTTTTTTATAGAAGAAAAGCATCGAGCAAAATGCTAACGTAAAGCAAGTCTAGGAGCAAAAAGGAGTAGAGACAGTACAAATGATGCAGGAAGTCCAAAGGATGCAAAAGCAAGGCAAGGCCACATGCATAATTGTTCCTCACTGGCCACTCGTTATTTAATCCGGAAACACTAATTGTACTAAAAATAAACTAAGTAAAGATGAATAAATAAAAGATATGAAGTGTCATCAATGGCCTACAAGTTTCCAATAATAGAGAGAATCAGAATAGTCCCAGTTAGTGTCACATAGTCCTGAAACAACCGGATTTCCTAGACAGCTCAAAGCATTTCCCATCAATGCTCAGTGCTGATCCAATTTCTTCTTTACAACCACCAGAGAGGAAGATTTTACATCTTCCCTAGGCAAGTTGTTCCACTGCCCATTTAGGAAACATTTCCAATCTCTTACTTTTCTTTGCTGCAAACTTAACCCTGTTGTTTCTTGTCCTTCCTTGTGGGTCTTCCCTTATTGCAACCATTTATAATTTGAAAACATCTCTCTTGTCCTTCTCTCCCATATTCCTGCCTCTTAGAGTGGGAGGACCTAAACCTTTCTCCAATCTTTACTGGTCAACTACACACACACACACACACACATATATATACACACACACTGAGACACACACACACACACACACACACACACACATTAAAATATTTGAATTTAATGAATTTAAATTTACACTTGTTATTAAAATGAACATATCACAATACCACAATGAATGTACGTTTTGAGGTGTCTTGGAAAAAAGTAGTCAGCTTCTCTTCCTCTCCTATTAGCAGTTAATACAGGAGAGCCTAAATGGCTTCAAAAAACATTCCAGTAAAAGGCCCATCAGTGTTGTGTAAGATCCAGTTCTAAAAGATGTATTGACACTGATTTCATTTGAGAACTGTCAGCTTCAGTTGCCTGTGGGTCTTATATAGCTGAAGGAAAAGGCACAGCAGTTCTACCCTGAAAGGCAAACTGTCGGCTAGCTTTGGACACAAACAGGAAGGAAAAAATATCTTTTAACTGTGGGGTTTGGAGAAGTGGTCATCCAATTTGATCCTTGAGCAGGCAACTGGCACGCCTGTGCAACCTATTATAGCTCCTTAAATCAGAATTTTTTGCTTACCTATTTAAACGAGAAACAAAATTATAAACCAAGAATAAACCTTTCCTCTTTCTACCCTATTAATGACAATGTTTGCTGCTCTAACATTTACTCTTCTTTAAATATATTGTCTGAAACAGGAGTCTGGTAGTACTATTATTTCCGCTATCCTCCTGCTTCTGTTACTAGGCAGGCAATGCTGGAGACATTCCAAGGTTTCTCCAGGTGATGAAAGGAGTGTGTAAGAAAGACAGCTGTTCAAAGGGGATGAGTGACTCTGCCTGTTTCCAGTCCACATTATTTTTGCAAACAAGCAAACCCCACAATGCTCTAGGGTTCCCAATCAGTGGTGCACGGACTATAGGGGGTCTGCCAAACCCACCCAGGGGGTCCGTGACACCATTCACATAACAAAAACTGCCATAGAGATATTTAAATTTTCAAAGGTTGGGGGTTCATGGCTTGACTTTTGAAAAACTGGGGATGCACAGTTCTTCGCTGAGAACCACTTCTCTAGGCTAATGTGTGCAACTTTAGGCTTCACAATCGGTGGTGGTGTGGTGAACTTTTGAAGTTCAGGCGATATTTTCAGGAGAGCTCCTACAGCCATGGAAAAATCCAAAAATGCAGGTGACGGTGTTGCTCCATTATTAAACACACAAAGCACCCCCAGAAGAGCAGTACACGGGATATAATCCTGTATGTATACTTCCCGGGAATGAAGCTCCATTGAACACACAGCAGTGCTTGCTTTGGGCCACATAAGTTTAACTTATAAAAACACATGGAGCTTTTAAGAAAAGATCTTCAGCCGGCTGAAATCCAACCTTTAGCTTTTAATTAGTAATGCAAACCACCTTGCACAGAAGTTATACCACTGCAATTGCTACCATGAATAAAGGAAAGAAGTATAATCTATCCTTTGCTTGATTATTTTCTTCCGACTCTGACTTCCTCTATGCTAAGTCAGCACAAACAACAGTAAAACTTGAAGACTTTGTTATCATCTCATTCACTCCCCAGGGTGAGGAGGGTCTGTTAATTATGCCTCCTGACACCCTGCTCCCTGGTGGATGATACCATCACCCCTTCTCTGAGACCCGCACTCCCATGTTCCTTCTCCACTTCTCCACAGCTCACCAGCTTTCTGAGGCTGCACATTGCAGAGGACTTTATTTTAAGAAACCTGACCATGATCACTGATCTTCTCATTGAGTAATTTACAACAAGCTTCCAAAGAACTCAAGAGTTCCCTGGAGAACAGTTTCGAGACTGCTGGCATATCACATTTGATAGTATTGGGTGATTGGCATGATAGCTTTTAATAACAATATTTGACAGTTGAAATGTAAAGGTATTTTAAAAACTTACAACATCTGAGAGATAACATGCAATGGTGGTTGGTATTTGACAGCTGAGAGTTTATGGCGGTGTTTCATATATGGAATCTGCCAAATCAATACCAATACCAAGAAATGCCAATAAAATGGAGAGGTTAAAATATATTCAAAATGCAAATTCGTATTCTAAAGTGGAACGGTGCAACAGGAAAATCTGTTGGATTTCAAAATATTTGCTAGCAAAGGCTTCACCTTAAGGACAATATCCAATTCCATCCACCTGACTGCACAACCCATTTCCACATTTGTGATGGCACTTCATCTTCCTCGCCTCTTCCCTATAGTATCCGCATGCACCCTCAAAATCTGCTTCAGAGGGTCCCCCAGCCCTCCAGTACACTTTTTTTTTTTGGGGGGGGGCTTGGGAACTGTCAGGGAATGAAAAGGAGGGGCCCTCATCTTTAGTCTTAAGTCATTTTTAAGCACCTTCCAACACATCTGTTTTACAACATTAATGGAGAGATTGCAGCAACAGGAGTGCCCCTTATGAAAAAAGAGAGCACTCCCATCTCTCCCAGCTAAGGCATGGTATAGCAGAGCCTGCAGAAAAAAACAAAAACTCAACCCATTGCACCCACATTTCACAAGCAGACAACTCAGCTGATGAACCCCCCAGAAATGTAAATCTTTAGCAACTCTAGAAACTCCTGAGTGACTTGACACAGAACAGGTGGCATCTCAGGCAATCGCAAAGAGAAATATATCAGTAATAGAAAAGAATGGTGAAAAAAAATGGGTTAGCAACTATGATTTAGGAGCCCAAAATATCATTTATTGCAGCCAATATTAATAAAACAACAACCCACACAAACAAACCCTGTTCAAGTAATCTATCAAGTTAGATAAAATGGCAGGTGGTAAAGTGGATTGGATTGAATTGTTATAAGATGGTTATAGTTTTGTTGTGCATGTTGTTGTTTCTCCGGCTTGTAAGCCACCTTGTGCATAGCAATATGGAAAGGTGGTATACAAATTAAAAGTGAAATGAAATGAAATAAGACACTGGTTCCCTTGGTTTGGATTTATCATCTGCCACTTTTGATTCGCAGCATGCATTGCATGGAATTCAGGTGTAATAAACTTCTTAAAACCACAAGATCAAAAACTGACACACTGACCAATCTCAAAAACACAGCGGCAAAGGAGGAGATGAACTTTTGAGCTGTCCCTACAGCTACGTATTCAATTCAAAGTCATTGCTAATGTATAGTGTGCTGTTTCAGGGGTCCCCAAAAGGCTGTGGCCCCTGGAGGACACAAGGCTCAGTCACTCAGCCGAGTCCAGCCTTCCCTGGTCCCTGCTTCCATCATCCAATGTATTATGAAGAACAATAGGACTCTCCTTTTATATGCTTAATCATGTAGAATAGCAAAGGTGGCATGTAGAGTGAGGCATATTATTCCTAGAATTCACCCAGACCAAAACACATTCATCAGTCTAAGAATCAGTATCTATATGTATTTATGGAAAACAGCGCTCGTAGTTGTTTAATAATACCGTATTGGCCCGAATATAAGCCACACCTGAATATAAGCTGCACTTTTAAAATAGTGAAAAAAAGAAAAAATATCCAAATATAAGCCACTCCACTCCTTGCTGCTCCTGGCTGCATGCTGGGCGGCGGACCACACTGCTTTGCCAGTGGCCTTTCCCCCTTCCTCGCTCTCTCCCTTCCCGGCCTTGGGGGAGAGGACGGGGGACTACGCACAAGGAAGGCGCCGCTTCTCCACGCTCCTGGCGCTGTTTGCCCCGTGCTCCTGGCTGCATACCATAAGGTCGCGAATACAAGCCGCACTTTAACTTTTCACGGTCGGAATTTGGGGTTAAGTGAGGCTTATATTCAAGCCAATACGGTAATAAAAAATCAGTTTGCTTGTTCTAAACAGCATACCTGACTTTTCCATCTATTCTATTTCCTTGGCCTGCCATCTCTCTCTAGCTCTCTGATCTCACTAACTCCTCTTACTCGCCATCTCAACCAGCTCCCCCCACCTGTCAGTCACTCAACTCACTCACCATTCCATCACACTGCCCTGCTGCCAATCATTCTTCCACTCATTCTTCTGTTGTATACGGGTATTATTCTGCAGTCTTTCAGATCGTGCAAGTTCCTCAGAGGGGGAACCCATTTTTGTTGTTGTAAAATCTAATGCTCACTAAGGACGCTGCATTGGTAATAATTAATAATTGGATTGTGATAATAATTAATCACAATCCAAATTTAATCTGCTGATCTACTAATATATAAAAATAAAATGAATATAACAAATTGTGTGGCAATATTTCTGACTGAATTTGTCAATTGGGGGAAAAAAGTTTTAAGAACCTACTTTAGGTTTTTATCCCTAATCCTGCTCCTTGCATTGCTTCTGATCATAATTAGCCAGCAATTCAGCACTGATTTTGACTAGAAGACTAAATATAACAACCATCTGGAATACTGCCCCTGACAGTGGAGGAAGCACATAGCCAATGTTAGTTTTCTCTAACCGCTTTTGACAGCCTCCAAGTTAGAGCCCATTATTGCATCTCATGGTGTGGAATTTTTGTTAATGATGTTAATGGCAAATTATTATTTTTTCCCTTTCGCATTTCTTATTGTCTACTTGTACTTCATTGCCAAAATTTGTACTTTTTTGTACTCCTCATTTGGCCAAGACTTTCATTTCCTGAAATACATCTTCTAATGTAAAAGGTAAAGGACCCCTGGACAGTTAAGTCCAGTCAAAGGCGACTATGGGGTTGCGGCGCTCATCTCATTTTTCAAGCCAAGGGAGCTGGTGTTTGTCCACAGACAGCTTTCCAAGTCATGTGGCCAGCAGGACTAAACTGCTTCTGGCACAATGGGACACCGTGACGAGTGCCAAAGTGCACGGAAACACCGTTCACTTTCCCGCTGCAGTGGTACCTATATATCTACTTGCACTGGTGTGCTTTCAAACTGCTAGGTTGGCAGGAGCTAGGACAGAGCAACAGGAGCTCACCCCGTCGTGCGTATTCGAACCACCAATCTTGTGATCGGCAAGCCCAAGAGGCTCAGTGGTTTAGACCACAATGCCACCTGCATCCCTTTTAGATGTCTTCTAACCTCTAATTAGCTTCCTTGATTCATTAACCCTGCTGGTATCTTATTGGCTCTGATGGTTCCTTTCCTGTTCTGCAGTATATCATGGAGCTTCTATTAATGAGATTAAAACAAACAAAAGCCAAACCTATCTGGAGAGATTTGACCCTCTCTACTTTGCTTTAAACTTCCTTTTTACCAGTTCCCTCATTTGTGGGTTTTCTTTTTTATTTATTTCATAAAATTTATATACACTTGACTGTAGTGTTTGGTTGGAAGCCGCCCAGAGTGCCTGGGGAAGCCCAGCCAGATGGGAGGGGTATAAATAATAAATTATTATTATTATTGGGGGGGGACCCTTAAATGGTTTACACACACCAAAAAAAAGTTATATGTGACTGTGTTGCGCTTTCTTAGCAACTACCCACTTACATATCTATTGCTCCCAGACATTTCAACAACACATCTTGCATCAGGTTTGTGCCACCACTTAAGGTATTAGTGCCCATTCCATGGCTTAGGGAATTGTTGCAATTAAAAAAATAGAAATCTCAGAATTTGATAACTTATCACAAGAGTTAAAAAAAAAACAGTACGACAGAACAAAATCTGCATTATGATTTTAAAAAACTATTTAATAAACTCCTGCTCTTATTTGTCTCCCCTTCATTACATTCCCCCCGCCCCTTTACATTATATTCTCCAATTATCCTATATCAGCTGAGGCTGCCATGTTTTTCCAGAGCTCTATCCTGAAGCCCTCTCAAATCATCTAGTATTTCAGGAATCAAGTACATTCCCATTCCCCACCCACAACTTTTGGGCAATTTGTATGGTTCTGGCAATAGGAACTGAAGCCCATTCTATGTATCACAAACAAACTGCATAGATACCTCTTTACTTATGATGCCAGATTTAAACTTGCAATATCTGAGGCAAGCCAAGAAATGGGCTCTGCTGCATTGCATTTCCTGGTTTTCCTGCCCCTGAACTTTCCTCCCCCAAGCCTTCAGAGTTAAATGAACATTAGATGCTTCTATTGCTACTGGTGAGCTGTCTTCCTGCTGTCATCAGCCACCTGAATTTGCTGGAGCTCCAATAGAAGTTTCCAATGCTGGGGACCAAGGACTGAGGACGGGAATTTGAGCTTTGGAAACACTTTTGGCTTCTACCACCTTGTTTAACTTATTGGTAGGACATCAACATGAATATTTCTAAAAATGTAAAGTGCCTTCTTCCAGTGTTTGGGGTGGGGTGGGGTGTTTTGTTTTTTTTTAAGAACTTACCACTGGAAGACAGGAGTGGGGGATGAAAAATAGATGCGATTTTTTGAGAGTGGGGGGGGGGAGATTGTCAACTCAGCACTTATACCGAAAATCCTGTGTAAGCATATGATGCTTCTGAATTCTAGCATGAGAAGGCAGCTATTAAATGACGGCTAAAATACACTTTGCGTGTGCTCAGAGGCATTTTTATTCCCATATCCCAGGATTCCACCTAGGAACTGAATGAAAAAGAAGATTCGCAGTGGGTTCTGAACACAAATTAAATTGTCTGCAGGAAGAAAGGGTGCGTGTGTGTGAAAAAGACGCCCTTTTTGAGAAGAGTGGTTAGAAAGAGGAAAAGGAAGATGGGAAATGTATTGTAAATTTGCGTGGAGCAGAATGTATTTTAATAAATTATATATATGTATGTATGCATGTGTGTATATATGTATATATAAATATATATAGTTTAACAATTTTTAATCGTGTTTTTCCCCATGCTTTTAGCGTTTCTTAATTTTATATGTAAGCTGCCTTGAGTCTCATCAGGGGAAAACAGAAAATAGTAGCAGTAAAGTTCGTAATGTGCTCTGCTGGCAATGGAGCTCACTATTAATTTCTAAACCGAGATGACACGAGGGTTGCCGTGCCATCGTTCTGTAAATGTGTGGGAGCAGGCAGGCTCCACTTGTTCTGTGGGGAAGGCGTTCAGTGTAAGTGCAGAGATGTCCCCAATGTGAACATCAGAAAGGGAAGCACAAAGCAAAGACGGTCAGGTATTGGGTTAGACCCCACTATCCCAGATGAGGGGCAGGCATTTCATGAGTTCTTCTCTTCTAATGACTCTCTCTCTCTCTCCCCTCACCCCCAGGCTCCCCCTCACTTTCTCTCTCCTTTTCCAGGCTGCATTTAATTTGACACCTTGAGCCTTGGTAACGAGGTGGGGAGCATGAAGAGCCACAGTGGATTTCATTAGGCTCGGCACTGCAGGCCCCACTCTCTGTGCGTTAATGACATCGGAGGATAGGGAAACGAGACAGCCACCGCGCGAGATGAAATAAACATGAGGGCTGTCAGCAGTGACAGCTGAAGCAAAGGGGACAAAATAAGTCAGGTAGAGACCTTTCCCATTCTGCACAATGCAAAGCGACACCTTGCCAAGGCCTTTCACTGCGATCCTCTCTTCTTGGGGAGAAAGGGGTGGGGGTGTGGGGCAGAGGAGATGAAGGAAAGGAAATGCAATTAAATTAGCAGCATCTTACCATACAAATTACATTTATCAGTTTAAATGTCAGCGGGAACCAGGCCCATTCTCCTCCCTTAGGGAAACATTATTTGAGAGGAAAACAGGAGTTCTTTTGCAAATAACAGTGTAGCTTCTCTTGGGATTAGCTTTAAAAATCCAACAGAATGGCAAAGGCATCTCAGGAAGGAGCCAGCAAACAAACAAAACATCTCCTTCCTCACCCAGGCCAGCAGCAAGGAATGAGCTGCAGGAGACAGACACACACACACACACACACACAGAGAGAGAGAGAGAGAGAGAGAGAGAGAGAGAAGGGTTATGACAGGAAAGGTGAAGGGATACTCCATAAGCCCTGTTCCATTCTCCTTCATAACAGAGCAAGCGTTGGTGAGGAAGGAGTGGTCCTTTGCACAGATAAGCATGATAATCATATTCCCTGGCTGGGAGAAGAGGGATGCCTTAACCTGGTCGGAAGTTAATGTCTGTGCCTGGCACGGCTGGCCCACCCATGAGGCAAGGTGAGCTAACCACCTCAGGTGGCAGGATCCAGAGAGACAGCAGATCCAGCCTCCAAGGAATGTATCGCCCGCCACTGCTGCCACAGCGGAGGCAACAGCTGCCATGTACTCATTGGAGGCTGGATTTCCTCAGCAGCCCCCCCCCCATGCACGCGCGTCCCTCAATGCCCCCTCTACATCAGCCTCTGAGCAAATAGGAGGTGCGCTTGTCTCCTCCCGATGCAGATCTTTATTCCCCATTTGCTCCTGATGTAGATCTGCACTCACCCCTTCTTCCCCGATGATGGCATTTTGTAGTTTGACTCAGGTGCCCAAATGTTTTGGGTGGCCCTGGTGCCAGGGTGGGCCTTGTTGGGGAAGGCATTGCATAGACCATGGGTAGGCAAACTAAGGCCCGGGGGCCAGATCCGGCCCAATCGTCTTCTAAATCCGGCCTGCAGATGGTCCAGGAATCAGCGTGTTTTTACATGAGTAAAATGTGTCCTTTTATTTAAAATGCATCTCTGGGTTATTTGTGGGGCATAGGAATTCGTTCATTCCCCCCCCAAAAAAAAATATAGTCCAGCCCCCCACAAGGTCTGAGGGACAGTGGACCGACCACTGGCTGGGCTGGGTGTGTTGCAAACAGCCACGGGATGGACACAGACAAGGCACATAGGCATGCAAGGACAATGACCTTTAACAGTGCTGAATAGTCCGAATGCCTGAAGCTGTTTATTCTGAGCTTGCCATTCTAACTCAGTGTTGCCCTGACTTGGTAGTGGCTCTCCATAGTCTTCCTCACCCCTGCCAAGTAGTTCCTTTCAGCTGCAGATCTCAGGGATTGAACCTGTGATCTTATGAATACAAAGCATATGCTCTGCCACTGATGATGACTATATACTATACACTTATTTAAGCCCCGCCTTCTGCCCTGACAGGGACTCAAGGTGGCTTACAGATAAAATAGGAACAGCTAAAAACATAGAAAAGTATAATTAAAAAACAAGGCAAAACATTGAGAAAATTAAAGTTGTATATTGACAAGTTATATTAAAAAGCATACAGACGATTACTATAACAACAGGGAGGCACTAGGCCTTTCATTAAAAGAAGTCAGTTTCAAACGCCTGAGGGCAGAAAGACAACAGGGAGGGAGCCAGGCTAGCTTCTCTAGGGAAAGAGTTCCAGAGATTGGGAGCAGCCAGCGAGAAAGCCCTCTGTTTTATGCCCCCGCGCAAGTGTGTGAGGACCTTTCTAGGAAAAATGAGGCCAAGAATCTAGGGACAAACAAAAATTTCTCAGAGAATAATTTTCTGGCCATTTTTTTTTTGGGGGGGGGGGAGAATGTTGGGAGACCGCATGACCATTTACCAGCTTGACTGGTAGGTGAGCCAGGTCAGCTAGAAATGGAGCTGTGGGGAACATGTGGGGAAGGAGCCTCCAGAAAGTATAAAGGGAACTTGCTGATGCATTGATGCATCAGAGGCTGCTCCCATGCAAGGCAAGTGGGGATCTGGATTGAGGCATTAAGGAAAGACAGAAGGAAGGAAAGTCTGAGGTGGGGGGAGGACAGAGGAGAATGGAAGGGGGAAATGCCGCGGAGTGCAGACAGCATCCCCTGGGGCTCTGAGGATCCTTGAGACCTTAAGAAGGGATAGGAAACTTGGTACCATTTTCTTTTTTGAGCTCCACCTGAATGGTTGGAAAATCCCCTCCCCCGGAAAATATTTGATGATATAACCTCTCTAGTTTCACCATCCACGATTTTTTGGTGCAACTGTAGCTCCAGTTTTAATATTGTTTAATGATATTTTAAGGAAGTCATGGGCTTGGTCCTTACCTGTTCTATTCCTCCTCCCTTAACCCACTACAGTGGTACCTCTGGTTACGTACTTAATTCGTTCCGGAGGTCCGTTCTTAACCTGACATTGTTCTTAACCTGAAGCACCACTTTAGCTAATGGGGCCTCCTGCTGCTGCTGCGCCGCCAGAGCACGATTTCTGTTCTCATCCTGAAGCAAAGTTAGTGGAGTCTGTAACCTGAAGCGTATGTAACCTGAAGCATATGTAACCCGAGGTACCACTGTACTTATTTCATCCACCAATATGAACCAACTAGAGTCCTGATCTGGGGAAAAGGCAGGCTATAAATAATTATAATAGCAACTACAACTAGCAACAGAGTGTTATTCAACATTAAGTGAGCCAAGATTTCTCAAGAAATAATTTTCTTCAAATAATTACAACCCCCAACCCTCCAAAAAATGTTTTGCAAAATGCTCCCCTCTTGCAACCCATAAATATCAGGGAGAATTTTGAGAAGCCATTGTTCTCTTTCTCTTTCCTTCACTGAGAGAAACTAGCAGCAGAGCAGCAGAGCAGAGACAGAACTTTATCAATGCCTGGACAGATCACTTCCTGGACTGCATTGAGAAACTATTTTTAAATATCCCCAGAGATGAAAGGGAGAAATGACCATAGAAATCAATGAAACAAATGTTGATGTAGCTAGGATTGGGAATCCCCAGTGTTGTCCATCCTACTGCTAAAACAAAAACAAACAAACTCCCATGAGATAGCAGCAGAGTGATCTTGCTGTTTCTTAACTGATACCTTATTTACTGAAAATTAGCCCCGCTAATTCAGATTCCAAAGCAAATACAGCCCCTATTGCTGCCAGCTGGGAAAGGCTCTTGCTGAGATCTAGCCTTACAGTGTCATTCACTCTGCATACTGCAGGATAGGCTCTAAAAAAGGTAAAGGTAAAGGACCCCTGACAGTTACGTCCAGTCGCAAACGACTCTGGGGTTGCGGCGCTCATCTTGCTTTACTCCCAAGGGAGCCGACATTTGTCCACAGACAGTTTTTCCGGGTCATGTGGTCAGCATGACTAAGCCGCTTCTGGTGAAACCAGAACAGCACATGGAAATGCCGTTTACCTTCCCGCCGGAGTGGTACCTATTAATCTACTTGCACTTTGATGTGCTTTCAAACTGCTAGGTTGGCAGGAGCTGGGACTGAGCAATGGGAGCTCACCCCGTTGCAGGAATTTGAACCGCCGACCTACTGATCAGCAAGCCCAAGAGGCTCAGTGGTTTAGACCACAGCACCACCCATGTCCCATAGGATAGGCTCTAGATGGCTTACAATACCCCTGCAGGTATTGTCTGGAGGTATGAAACCTCAACTGCTTGTTGGGGTTGGGGAGAAGCTGAGAAAGAAGTATACAACAACCCTGAACTGTTCACCATTGCTTAAATCCTCATGTTACATGTTGAGTTGACAGAGCAGTATACAACAACTTTATTGTTGTGCCCCTATTACAGACTGGAAGGGCTGCACTACGAAAGCAGTTCATGGCAGCCCTGAAACTGCAGTCTGCTGCTAACATGGCAGTGGGTTTGGAAGCTGGTTTGGATTCTCAGTGAAAAATTCCTCAGACTTCTCAGGTTGCCGCAAAGGTCAATCTACTTATATCACCTCCTTGGACCTCCTCTCAGGCCAAATCCATCCATCAATTGCTAGCATAAGTCCCATGCTCCATTGACTTGCATGCAGACTGGGTGCAATTTTAAAGGTTCACAAAATAAAATGGGGGGAGGGGAGTTCGCACATGTAGTAAAACCAAAGTCAGCATAGCAGCTTCTGTCAGTGAAACAAAGTTTTGTTTTTATGGCTCCTTTATCCACAGACAGACACTCTCTCTCTCTCTCTTGCACACACACAAACGAACACACAGAGGTACCACTGTAACAGGTTGAAACTGATCCCATACAACTTGACCAGACAGAGCTCTGGCACTCTCCCGCCCTGGCCCGGCTACCACGGTGGAGTCTACCTCTTTCTGAATCTGAGCAATTTTATCAGGGGGGGGAAAAAACTTTGCAAAATTGTTACAGGAGATATTGTATATAGGAGGATCAAACTCATTGTATGATAGTTGATCCTTATGTAGCCAAACCAGCACAACCCATGCACCAGAAAGAGGCACCTGCAGGTCTGAGAAAAGTCTGCAAAAGAAGAATAAATAAAATCTTAAGGGGAAAAAATCCACATGGAGGAACAAAAAGAGTCCAATGAGAACTAATCAGAGGCCACAGCAAACATATGGTGTGTTGACAGAGAAAAACAAAAACTGTGTGTACGTGTATAATGACTGGTTGGAAACAGAATCACTCCACGCGGCAACATTTTGTTGGGAGATTCTGTGTACGTATGTCTGGGGGGGGGGGGAGAACCCAAAACTCAAGTGCTGATGGATGGCTATGTAGCTGAAATTGAATTACTGAGAAACTAGGGGGGAGGTATCAGCATGCTCTCTTCCCAAGAACAGACCAGTCATGAAGACAACCAAGTGAGCTTGCCAGAGCAATAAAGATTAAAGTGGGGAGCTAGCCATCAGGTGCTTCTGCTTGAAGTGACAAAGGCTTATCTCACCTGTTTGAAAACTTCCCTCCTAAGATATCTACAGTCTCCATTCTTGGGGCTAGAAAACCATTTATGATATGAACCAAATCCTTCCCTTTCTGCAGTTCAAATCCAGTTTCTCTTGCACACCGAACAATCGTCTTTCATCTATTCTGGCAGCATTTTACATGTTCAAACAGTCTGATCACTATCTGCTTTCCTCTGTTCCAGCCTTCTTCTCTTCTGTAGAACTGAACACACACCCCAGCTCCTTTCTCAAAACTTTTCTCTTTGGCCTGATGTTCTAAGCACTTCATCTTTGAGCTTTTCCTCTGAAATCCTTCCAGACTGTCAAGATCTTGCTCAAAGTTTAATAATCAAAATATGTGTGCTATTTCAGCAGAGACCAAGCAGAGACAATAAGCTTATCAAGCAACAAACACAGAGCTGTTGCCCATTTGCTGTGCAGGATCTGAACATAGTTCCCCAGCTTCCCATTTTACTAATGCTCAGACTATACTATATTGTTCTTGGGAAAGCAGTGCTTCCCGGCCCCACATAAAAAAGCTAGTTGAGCACAGCTGGTGACATAGCTGATGCAAAGTGCCCCTCCCCAGCACAGAGATCCTGCCTGTCTGCTATGAGGCTGCCCTACATCCATTATGGGTTAAAAAGGATATTATGCAGTGCTGCTGGATCTGAAGCTGAAACTACATGTTACTAGCAATCGGGTCATAGGTTTTTAAGAATTATTACTATTTAAATAGTATTTAGTATATCTGTACTTGGCTCTGCATCTGATTATTTCCCCCCTTAATGACTTCACACATAACTTTTTCTCTCAAAAACTGACATATCCATTGCATTTGAAAGGCAAGACGGATGTCATTAAAGTATTTGAAAGCAATAAAAAATTATTTAGTCGTCTACCAGCAATTTTCAAGTGGGATGGGGATAGTTTGAGCTTTGCTGACCTCAGCAGCTCCTGCTATATACAATGGGCAAAGGTTTCCTTACAGTCTGCAAGCAAAGCTGTGAAGTTAAGAGGACTATTTCAGCTTAGCCCTGCACTCAGGAGACTGTACAGATCCCGGAAGCCTTAAAACCAGCTATGGAAGCTTTTTACCACTTTTATTGAGCTATAATTAGTTTTTAAGACTTCCACAATAAAGCAGAGAAACACTTCTGATGTTGGAGGGGCAGTGTGATTGGAGCAGTTGCTTAATTAACAGTTCTTCCGCAACGAAGAGGCAAATTTCAACACACACACATGGTTCAGTTCTGGCAGAAACTAACATATTGCGGACCCAATCAAGTTCTTGCCATACTTTTGTCACCAGTGACTAGAAAATATGGGTTGAGAATTAAA